TCCTTCCTTCCTTCCTTCCTTCCTTCCTTCCTTCCTTCCTTCCTTCCTTCCTTCCTTCCTTCCTTCCTTCCTCTCACTATCATCTCTGTCTCTCCCTCTCCCTTTCTCTGTCATCTGTCAACATTTTTAACATGGCGGTATGTCAAATGAAGAGTGCATGTAAAACAGTGTTTCTCAACTGTGACAGTTTGAAGAGATGTGAATTTCCCCAGCCAGTCTTGAAGTCCACGCCTCTTCAAGTTGGCAAGGTTGAGAAACACTGGTGTAAAAGAAATTGAAGAACTTGAAGGCAAATGAGGTCCAGGCAGAAGAAGAACATCGTGGCTTCAAAATCTAAGGGACTGGTTTGAACAAAACTCAGCAGCACATTTTCGTGCGGCTGCTGATAAAAACAGGGTCGCCAACATGATAGCCAACGTCCGATAACGGATATGGCACAAGAAGAAGAAGGTGTAAAAGAAGCAGGGATGGCAAGGACAGGTGGATGAGGTGGAATGGACAAAATTCACAGCAAGGTCAACGTTCATCACCCCCGGCTATCCTCATGATTGAAGTGCCCCCTAACCCAAAGCAGAGATTGTACAAGATCGTGGCATTACCTTGAAAATTGTCAAACTGTTAAGTAGGACAAGAGTATCACTTCTCCTTTTTTTAAAAAAAGTTTCTGTGACTCTACCGAAGAATAAATACCAACGTTTTTCAACCTTGGCCACTTAAAAGATGTGTGGATTTCAACTCCCAGAATTCCCTAGCCAGCAGCTGATTGGAGAGGGGAGAACTTTGAGTTAACTCAGTGACAGTTAAACTGCAGAGTAGCTGGAGAGAACGGTTGGACTAAGACAGTGCTAAAGTGAGAGTAGCTGCTGACCACATTTACAACAGAGCAGAATTCCCCAACTTTTGCGGCTTTGTGGGCCTGCAGGGGAGGGGAGAGAGGAGGGCTCTGTGTGAGTGGCTGGCATGTGCACATACATGTGCAGCTCCGTTTGCGCCAGTGGCTTCTGTGTCCAGTTCTGAACGGCTCACATCTGGTAGTGGGCTGCGGCCTGGAGGTTGGGGACCCCTGTTATAGAGGTAGGCATCCTGGTGCCCATCCAGTGTTGTGGACCCATGGAATCTGGGTTGCCAGCTTGTGTTTTTAAGCACACTTGCAATAATGGGATCTGTCTGTTACCTGGAGATTTAGGTTTCTTTACTGAGCTTTTTAAAAATGCTAATGCATTTTAACAGGGCTTGTTGTTGTTGTTAGTTGCGAAGTCATGTCGCTACCCCATGGACAATGTTCCTCCAGGCTTTCCTGTCCTCTACCATCTTCCGGAGTCCATTTAAGCTCACGCCTGCTGCTTCAGTGACTCCATCCAACCACCTCGTTCTCTGTTGTCCCCTTCTTCTATTGCCCTCCATCTTTCCCAGCATCAGGCTCTTCTCCAGTGAGTCCTTCCTTCTCATTAGGTGGCCAAAGTACTTGAGTTTCAACTTCAGGATCTGGCCTTCTAAAGAGCAGTCAGGGTTGATCTCTAGGACTGACCAGTTTGATCGCCTTGCAGTCCAGGGGACTCGCAGGAGTCTTCTCCAGCACCAGAGTTCAAAGGCCTCAATTCTTTGGCGCTCAGCCTTTCTTATGGTCCAACTTTCACAGCCATACATTGCAACTGGGAAAACCATGGCCTTGACTATATGTACTTGTGTTGCCAAGGTGATGTCTCTGCTTTTTAGTATGCTGTCTAGATTTGCCATAGCTTTCCTCCCCAGGAGCAGCGTCTTTTAATTTCTTGGCTGCAGTCCCCATCTGCAGTGATCTTGGAGCCCAGGAAGATAAAATCTGTCACTACCTCCATTTCTTCCCCATTTGCCAGGAATTGAGAGGGCTGGATGCCATGATGTTGGTTTTCTTAATGTTGAGTTTCAATTTAATAGGGCTAAATTGCCTTTTTGGAAATGTTTTGCCTCTTTGAAATTGTCATAATGTTATAACTTTAAATTTCTGATCCTGAATTAATTTTAATGTTTTAATGTTCATTTCATATACTGTTTTATAGGCTGATATTATACTGTACGCTGCTCAGAGCCACTCCTTGAGGGAGGTGGATAGTTTAGAAATCACAAAATATAAATAATGGTTATACTAGCATTTTAAAAGATTTGACCTCCCCTTAATAAATGCTTTTTTGCTTTGCCTGAATTACTTGGCGATTCGTATTTTTCAGATGGCCAAAGAAGCCCCTTTGCAAATTCAGAGGTGAAGTTCTTCTAAGCTCCACGCCCACCTCAGGGTAACTGAGTTTGGACCCAACAAAGCTGACATTGGATTCTGAGTGTGGGGTGGAGCAGGAAGGAGGTTAAAGTTACATTTGACTTTGTGTAAAGTATCAGAACATAAATATCCTTATCCCCCTCCTTTTTTAAAAAAGGGATATTTTTTATTTTTTTTATTTAAATTATTTTCAGGTTCTTGAGGACAGTGAGAGAAGAATATTTGCCCAAGGCACCTATTTCATCATGCAAATTCTTCTGGGATATTTCCTCTTCTCTGTGCTTCTAAGAACAGGTAAGGAGTCAATGAGTCACACCCCTCTCCATTCCTGGGATTTCCCCCCCCCCTTTCCTTTACTACGTGCATTTCCAAAACTTATTCGCGTTCATTACATTGGAAGCAATGTGGGTAGAAAAAAGCAGATAAATCTCTGTCTGATTCACTTACAAGGTCCCATTTCTGTTAGCAAGCTTGTGGTCTTCGGCTGGTTTTCTCTGGTTCACAGTCTACGCTGTGTTTTTCTCTTCCAGGTGCAACTTTCCAATGTAAAAGGTGTCGAGTGGATGCTGCAACCTGCACAGCCTCATTACAGAACTGTAACGCAGGTGAAAATTCCTGCGTGAAGAGGCTGAGCCAAGACGTCACAGGTGGGTGAGGACCACTGTTAACTTGACAGTGGCCATGGAGATGATCAAAAACATTCTCATTGCATTGGGTTGACCAAAGGTAGATGTCCAGAAAACATTCATGGTCATTTTAGCTATGTTTCTGTTCATGGGGCTCTTACAATAAATTATTGCTCAGATTTAAGATTGTATATTGAAGATGTTAATTAAGATTGAACAGCCAGTTTGGTGTAGTGGTTAAGGCATCTGTTCTGTCCCAGCCTACGTGAGTCCTGGTTATGCTCACAAGGAGAAACCCCTCTTCCAAGAAACAGGCAGGAACCACCAGAAAAAAACCAACCCCTTTTGTTCTCACTGACCTGAGTCAATGTCCAAGGCAAACAAACACAGTCCATGGAAACTCGATCCTCAACACGAACGGTTGCCACGGCAACCAGCAGCTCCCACACCTTCCCTTTTATAATTCAGCCAAGGCGTGGCTTCCTAATGCCTTCTCCTTTGCCTTTGGAGCCACCCCATTGCATTCCTCTGTCCTACTCGCTTCTCTTGCTCCAAAGCTGGAAGCTTTTAAGAAGAGATTGGACAGTCATTTGTCCAGAATGGTATAGGATCTCCTGCCTGAGCAAAGGGTTGGATTACAAGACCTCCAGGGTCCTTCCCAACTAACTGTATTATTCTATGTTCTAAAAGCGTGGCTCTCCATATCCCTTCACCCCATCACAGTCATGAGAGCAAATGCAGAATAAAGAGAATGACCTTGATGGAGACAACAATGATATAATAATAATAATAATAATAATAATAATAATAATAATAATAATAATAATAATAATAATAATAATAATAATAATAATAATAATAATAAAGTTAGAAGGGATCTTGGAGGTCATCTAGTCCACCCCCCCTGCTCAGGCAGGAAACCCTATACCATTTCGGACAAATGGCTATCCAGTCTCTTCTTAAAAACTTCCAGTGTTGGAGCATTCACCGCTTCTGGAGGCAAGTTGTTCCACTGGTTAATTGTTCTAACTGTCAGGAAGTTTCTCCTTAGTTCTAGGTTTCTTCTCTCCTTGGTTAGTTTCCATCCGTTGCTCCAGGCACTTTGGAGAATAGCTTGACTCCCTCTTCTTTGGGGCAGCCCCTGAGTTATTGGAACACTGCTATCATGTCCCCCCTCGTCCTTCTCTTCATTAAACTAGACTTACCCAATTCCAGCAACTGTTTCTTCGTCACCCAGCTAGCGAAAAGGGAAACATTGCCTGAATCCACATAAGATTATGAAAAGATCTCAAACAGACACTCCTCTAATTCAGTGAATATAACAGAGATGTCTTAGCTTGCCAATGAACCTGGAGGAGGATGGGCGAATTAGAATGCAAGCTACAAAGATAAAGAAGAGAGTCCCTGAGAATCAAGGACGGTTCACTAGGTGCCTGGTTCGACTCAGAGACATTTTCTCATAACAATAGAATTGCACCTAATTGGGCAATGTGACCCACCCATGAATGGGAGGGGAAACTTTATTCTTTTACCATAGGGGTTTGGGCTGGGATTGGCCAGAGTTGGTTTTGCTTTCATAGGTGCCAAAATGATGTACTCAATAAAATTTTACATGAAGAGATTGGAATGTCTCGGAGTTTTTTGCTGGCTTGGGTTCGTCAGTCGAAACTTTGACAAGAGGCAGGAGAGAAACGCAAACCGACTTGTACAAAAATGTCATTACAGTCAATCTAAATAAAAGTATAATGTTTAATCTTGCACGGTGTCTGTTTCTTGGTCCAGTCACTCTTTGCAGGGCTGACACTCACCTCAATGCGCTCTCCTTCCATTTTTGCAGGTGAAAAAACACAAACCAAGGTAGCGATGGCTTGCATAGAGGCTTCCCAATGCACGAAACAGTTTATCGAGCTGTCTTATGAAAAAGGAGTTTACGCAAGAGTACAGTATGATTGTTGCAACACTGACGGCTGCACCCCTCCCACCACAATAAGTAGGTCTTCTCCTTTTTTGCCCATGGGTCAACTTTGGCTATGCTCTCAGAGAGTGGGATGTGGATCTGGAATAGAATTGTTAAACTTCTTGGCCAGGATTACAGGGAATCCTCAACTTAAAGACTGCAAATTGAGCGCAACATTTCTGTTGCTAAGTGAGACACTTGTTAAGTGACCTTTGCTCTGTTTTACGACCTTTCTTGCTCTAGTAGTTAAGTGAATCACTGAGGTTGTTAAGTTTGTAACAGGGTGGTTAAATGAATCTGGCTTCCCCATTGACTTTGCTTGTCAGAAGGTTGCAAAAGGGGATCACATAGCAATGGCAATAGGCAATACCGCTTCATAGGGCAATACCGCTTCATAGGGCTTCACAGCCCTGTCTAAGCGGTTTACAGAGTCAGCCTATGGACCCCAACAATCTGGGTCCTCATTTTACCCACCTCGGAAGGATAGAAGGCTGAGTCAACCTTGAGCCGGTTGGGATCGAACTCCTAACAGTGAGCTGAGTTAGCCTGCAATACTGCATTCTAACCACTGAGCCACGATAGCTTCCTTCCTTCTCCTTGTTTCCCTTCCTTCCTTCTCATTTCCTTCCTTCCTTCCTTCTTCTTGTTTCCCTTCCTTCTCATTTTCTTTCCTTCTCCTTGTTTCCCTTCCTTCTCATTTCCTCTCCTTCCTTCCTTCCTTCCTTCATTCCCTTCCTTCCTTCCTTCCTTCCTTCCTTCCTTCCTTCCTTCCTTCCTTCCTTCCTTCCTTCCTTCCCTTCCCTTCCCTTCCCTTCCCTTCCCTTCCCTTCCCTTCACAGTCCTCTCTAAGCAATTTACAGAGTCAGCCTGTTGCCCCCAACAATCTGGGTCCTCATTTTACCCACCTCGGAAGGATGGAAGGCTGAGTCAACCTTGAGCCGGTGAGGATCGAACTCCTGGCAGTGAGCAGAGTCAGCCTGCAATACTGCATTCTAACCACTGTGTCACCACAGCTCACAAGACACCGGGTTAATGCAACCCACTTAAATATGAACTAGTTGCCAAGCATCCAAATTTTGATCATGTGATCGTGGGGATGCTACAATAGTCATATGTGTGGAAAACAGTCATAAGTCACTTTTTTCAGTGACATAACTTTGATCGGTCACTAAATGTTGTCAGTCGAGGTCTACCTGTATTGGCGTAATGCACCTGCAGCCAAGAAATTAAAGGGTGATGAATGCAGGCATCTGTGATGTGGGGTGAGGGTTGGGTCAAAACATGTATGGAACCCTGTGATCTGGGAAGGAAAAGTCCATTTCCAAACTATTGCAGAACAAGAAAGGCGAATAGTTTCTAAAAATATCAACTACTCAGTGGCTTGCATCTTCTCCATTAAACCAGGGTTTGGTTAGAAACAAGATCAAGGCAATTGGGAAGCTCTGCCTTCCTTGAGGCAAAATGGGAGCTAAGGACCACATACTGCAGGGGTGTCAAACTCACAATGTCACGTGACGTGTCGCAACGTAGTGTGACTTTTTTTTTGCCATCACCAGCAATGGGGTGGGCGCAGTTTTGCCATGACGCATCCAGCCCGCGGGCCGGCAGTTTGACACCCCTGACATACAGTGTCTAGTTTCCAAGTTTCTGTAATCCATACTTTTGATGTAATAAAAATGCCTGGCCCAAATCTGCTGGTGTAAGGGGCTTGACTGGTGGGCAACATCACTCTGCAACTCCAAAAGCATGGATCCTGCAAGAAGACACACATTTAGCATTGTGTGCCCTTGTGGTTAAGAATAAGTGTCTGTAGCGTTGAATACCCCTGTTTTATTAGTAGTTTGCCTTTCATAGGAGACAACACCTGGGTAACTTCATTTGGGTCCGAAGCTAAGCATAGTTGGGCCTGGTTAAGATTTGGATGGGACTAATTATTGGGAAGTTTTTTTAAAATAAAAATAAAAATAAAAAAATAGATGGTTTGCTGTTGCCATCTTCTTGGATCTGTTTTGGCTTCCAAAAAGTCAATTCTATAATCCTGGGATTTCCTGGCAGTTTCTCGTCCAAATTTCGTTTCCGGTCCCAAACATGATTTGACCAGATAGTCATTCATATGAAGTCTCTGAATGGCATAGCTATTTGTGTGTCTGTAGTAGCTTGTCTGTAGTAACCTATCTCAGCTTCCTGCCTCTGTTTCATTTTGCAGTGCCTGCATTAAACACCACCGTCAATAAGAAATATTGTCCAGTCTGCTCTTTAGAGACAGGTACCTGTTCAGGTGATGTTACTCTGGAATGTACTGGATCTGCAACACATTGTTTTGCATCTTCCATTCTTAAAGGTATTTATAATTCTGATGGGAAAAACCCTCTCCTCTGCTCTGAGGTTATTGTTGGTCTTAACCACAAAGACTGGGAATCATCAGAGCTCAGAACTAAGTAAATCATGGTGTTGATTAGGACAGG